AGAGGATTCATTCTCTGAAGATGGATAGTCGAGATAACTATTCAAAACGTCATACAACAAATATACCTCTCCCGGTGAAAGCCCTTTCTCATGATGAACTATATCATATTTCAGGCTAAACCTGTAGATGCTTGAATATACTGCTTTAGGCCGAGTTAGAGATTAATTTGAGGAAATTGGAAAGCTGAAAACGTTAAAATCCCTGTTTGCCAAAGGGCAGGAGAAAGAGCTCGTGACTCAGTGACAGAGTATTTGACTCTATGACCAAAGATATTGAAACTGAGTACTAGGACCTCAGTCTAGATGTTAATTATGGTTAATTGACGACATCTAATAAGCCAAAAATTACCATTCTACTCTCTCTTGTCTTTGTCGAATCTAATTTCTGCAGATATTCCCGGCCGATATGCGACTGTCTGGGCGGCCTCTTCACTGAGTCTCAATCATAACGGGGTGAACAGGTCTAGCGACCCAATCTAGGAATGCCCTATCTATAATAAGTCGCCCGTGTCCATTTCTCAGAATACGTAACAGAAGCTAAGTATTCCCTCCTTGGACATATCGCATTTAGATCTGGAACATCATGTAGAAATTCTTCGCTGCGGAACAGTGTACTTGCTATTCTCACGTTCGTCCTAGCAATTGTATCTGTCCCGCCTTTGCCGCTAGCTCCTTCATCATGCATCCCTTTTGCCACCAAAACAGGAATAATACCCACTTCCAGTGTTCAATAGCAGTCTCTGTCGCTTCCCCTTTCGTGTTCGGCATCCATTTATACCGTTTCTTTTCCCACACGCAACAATATCCCACTTACTGTTTTTACCCTTTCATAAGTAAATCTTTGATATTTCTTCGCGCTCTCCTTCGTCTGTCCCGCAATTCCGCCCCCCCCCTAAGGGCCTTTTAACAGGTTTCTATTACTCCGCTTGTGTTTAGAAAGGGGAAAGATGGCGACTGGACTAATAACACTACTCATTAAGTTGGCAGGGCTCACTAATGGAACAATGTGGAACAATTAAACAGTGTGTTTCTTCCTCCTTTAAGTTTGCGGGCCAATGAAACGGCGATGAATGCCAGAAAATAGCGTCTTAAGGCAGGTTTTCATTTGGCGTTGAGTGGAGGCATGTTTTGCATGGGCCTAGAACGCCATATTCTTCTTACGTTTATACTGGTTGTTGCTGCGGGTGCCGTTGAGGACACAACCTTGCCTTCCATACCCCTCAAAATAATAATCATACTTGTACCAACCAGATGCATTCCGGAGACTCTGCTTTTTAATTATTCTGCCAGTATTTATCAGCCGTTGGAGTATCTTCATACCCAAGTGCCTAACTGGAACATCGATATCACAGCCTACGTCCGAAGGCTACATATTCTTGGATGTTATCTTCAAGAGGACAATCGGACTTCCATTCTGGTTAAAGCACTCAACGGAATAGTCGAAGAATTGGATAATTCGACGGACTTTTCCGTCATTTTAGGGCCAACTCGGGCGGCGAATGTCCATTCGTCAGCGGCTGGATAGCCACTTCCGGTTTCAGTGATATTTCCTATCACAGTCTCTACCAACTCAATTATGCTTGTCGTCCAGAGAACCAACACAGCCTTTTTACGGACGTAGTTAAGAGAAGGACAGCACACGTGAATGCTTCGAATTCGCCGGAAGTTTGTGCTCTTTCCCTGCCTTTGAGGATCCAATCGCTAGTAAGAACCCTGAAGACGTTTCTGCGATACAACGGTTGGTCTGACTGTCCATTCTTAATGAGGTCAGCTCAAAGGAGACTTCCTATATGGCTTTGGGGCAGAATCTGCG